AATGTGTTGGGGGATTTGCCCTTTCATAGGAAAATCAACATAACCCAAGCCATCGATGGTTCTAGTTCCAAGTAGGTTAAAAAGGAGATGGAGATTTCTGAAAATGAGGGATTTTCCTAAATGTTTTGGAGGCAAGATGGTGTGAAAAATTGCTGGGCTGAAGAAAAGGAAAGAATGTTTTAACTAAAATAAATTAAAGCAGCTGAAATTAAAAGCGTTAGACAATTTGCATTGATTGGTTACACGTGAACATGTGAATAACTTTAAGCACTCTGACTCCATTGTAAGTAAAAGATTATATTATGATTGGCTTTTCATAAGGAGTAGTTCCTCCCTCTTTTTTCAGGTACAGGGAACAAACACCAACACCCAGATGTCAGTGAACATTTATTCCCAGAAGCCCCAGACAACACTGAGGGATACTAGGAATTGTGGCTCTCCTAATGTTGTATACTACAAATTCTAATTTATATTGGGTGTTGATAATCATCAAGACGGCCCTTACTTACCATTCCTTACCTTAACAAAAGCAAAGGTCAGGATTGTTCACTAAATTCCCAAGAAAACTCTCAAACTGTTACAGACATATTTAAATAGGCAACAAATTTCAAATTAAATACAGCATTACACTTGGTGGAAGAACTCGTATGTGCAGCATCAGATGCCAAGCAAGTCAGCTTTAAAAAAGGTATCTACAGTATATACTTTAAATAACAGTAAAGGCTTGAGCATTTATGTTGATGTTCCTTGGATATATTATAAACAAACATCACTGAGACATCATCCTAAGCCAATGTAACTGACAGAAAGGAACATAATCAGCCAAAATTGTGGCCAGTACTCCAGAATTTAACTTGCAGATTTATCCAGTGTTCCACTGAGCTCCATAACAGTCCAACTTCAGGCAGATAAGGGAAGAAGGCAGCGCCACAGTGTGAACACAACTGTTATTTCTCTGTAGAGAAAGCCCTTTTCATCAATGGTGGAGGTGTTTTTCCTACATCAAACATCATTTCCAAAGGAGGGTTATTGAGGCAGCACCAATCAGGGATGCGTCCTGTCTGGTTGTAATATTCCTTTGATACTGAACGACTGCCAAGAATGTCCTGAAGGGCTCCGAAAATGGCTCCTGTAATACAGAATAAGACACAAGAGTTTAAAACATAGAGAAGCAAATAAAATGGTAGCAAGAGGGAAAAGTGCAATCAAAGCTTTATTTTTGTGTATTTCTATTAGCCCAAGTAAAATCTTAAATGTTTTTCCCAAGTCAACCTTGACTGAGAATTTTTCATCGCATTCAAATGATAATCAAATCCTACAATTGAGATTCCGAGAAGCTAAATACAAACCAGAAATTAAACAGGGCTATAAAAATATATATCAAAACCAAATATTTTGACAATCTCAGGAACCTGTTCCCAGTCATACAAATGGTTGCTGGCCCTAGTTCTATACTTCCTCAAGCCCTTTGGGGAAAAGGAGTGAGGAAAAGATTCTAAGACGTATAAAATATATTGTACATCAAAGCCCTTGCACTCAAGTTTTCCAGTCTCTCCTAGGAGTGGTATTGGCAAAAGTTGTATACTGTGTGCAGGCCTACATAATTTCCACTCTGGTTCCCAGCTTTTTCAGACTAACCTCCTAACCATGCCACACAATTTGGCTTGGCTGGTGGCACATGTACTCGGAAGGTCTTTGAGGCCAGAATCTCCTTGTACTTTGGCTTCTCCACCAGGTACCGTATTTCGGCCATTAATCGGTGCAGGAATCCTGGTAACATAGCTGTACCCCCAATTATTATCAAGTTCTCAGCCAGCTGCTTCCTAGTATCTATTGGGCACTGATAGAGGAGAAGAAAAAGAAAAAATATATAAATTAGTCTACTAATTAACAAATTAACTAATTATTTTGTTAAATAACAGTATAACAGAATAACAGAGTTAGAAGGTACCTTGGAGGTCTTCTAGACCAATTCCCCTGATAAAGCAGGAATCCCTATACCATTTCAGGCAAATGGTGGCCCAATCTCTTCTTAAAAACCTCAAACCTCATTCACAACTTTTGGAGGCAAGTTGTTCCACTGACTAATTGTTCTAACTGTTGGGAAAATTATGCATGATCAAATATACAGCAAACTGGGAAGGCAGATGGTTTGAAAAAAAACTCATTATACTTGGCTTCCTACTTTAACTGCCTAATTTTCCGTGAGATGGCCTTTGTCTACCAAGGCTTCTGACACTTTCTGTATTAAATCAGACTGTGGTGTATAGCTGGGTATAGCTGCTGTTTTGCGGGTGTGAGTTAGCAAGAGAGACAAAAAGGGGAGAGGAAGCTGATTCTAGCCTTGAAATACCAGGGATACTATGATGAGGACTAATGTATTGGCCTGCTGTTGTGGGGCAGAGGGAGAAAGCATTCCCATTGGTCCAGCCTTGTACATACAATCATGTGGAAAAGAAAGTACATCCTTTTTGACTTCTATGGGTATACATATCAAGACATATCAGAAAATAGAAAAAATAACCTGGTCCTTAGCAGCTTAAAAGTAGGTAAATACAACCTCAGATGAACAACAACACATGACATATTACACCATGTATTTTACAAAAAGAAAGCCACAATGGAGAAGCCATGTGTGAAAAACTAAGTACACCTGATGATTCAATAGTGTAAAGGGACATAAAAGTTGGGCTGTTGGTCTGAGCCCTGAGCTTGGCAATATGGCTGCAAATGTTTCATCACCATTCAAGGAGACATTATCAGTGTCTCCGTATGCAATGACAATGTCTCCTCGAACGGTGATGAAACGTTTGCAACCAAATTGCTAAGCTCGGAGCTCAGCCCAACAGCCCAACTACCAAATACAATTCAGGCATAAAAGCCTCCACAGCCTTGGTTTCTCTGTGTCATCATGATTCTTGTGATGCTATGTTACTCATGTCAGGGTGTCTGGGTTAAAAAAAAAGTTATTAACACAGAAACACACACACACAGACACAGACACACACATAATCTTATCCAAATTGTGCTACCTCCATAAGAGAGTCCAATATTAAAGTAGCCACAGATTTCTCTTCATTGTCCTGTACAAAGAGTACTTCGACAACAGAATCTCTGTGAGAGGAAAAAAAGGAAGCCTTGAGTAATTTATTTATTATATTTATTTATTAAATGTGTTCACCACCTATCTCCCTGTGAGACGACTCTAGGCAACTTACAATGTTAATATGCAGAGAATGAAGCTTGAATCCAAAGGATATTACCCGTTCTGTCCTAGCTACCCAAGTGATTTGAAAAGGATTATACTAACTATAGACAAAAGTGCACAATCCTATGTCAGGCTGTATGCAGTCCACCAATGGATTCAGACACAGCCTACATCAAGCCCCACTTTTCTATTCTGCTACTAAATTTGGTGGCCCAAATCTACCTTACTCATCTTTTCTGACTTCCATATCCCCCCCCCTCTGACTTGTACCCATTGCCTTATTTGTGAATCTTCCTTCCTACTCAAGTCCCTTGATCGCTCTACTTGCCTTCCATCCCAAGCAGCAACATTCTTCAGTTAATAACATTTACTTAAGTTTTATACTATCACTACTTTTTAAACTTTTTGATGTGGCCCCATTCGTTCACAGTGTGGTTCCCAAATCCCATTCAAAGGTTGGTACGGCTTGATGAAATATATCTTGACAATAGTGTAGGTTTAGAACCGGATATTTAATCCTTTCACCAAATTTCCACTCCTGTGCAACCCTTTACACATTCTGAATAAGAGTAGCTGGGACATCTATACATTTTGCTCTTGCGTAGCAAACAAAATCCAGTTGAGAGGGACTAAAAAAAATGTAATTGTCATTGCAAAAGTAATGCAAAAAAGGGACTGCTAAAAGTGATTACTAACCTGATCGATCCATTGATATGCAAAATCTTCTCTCCATCCAGTGGATAGTCTACATCTGGTGGTGGAGTTGGACGCTACAAAGGATACACACACACACTCAGAATGTGAAACATTACACTTAAGTAATTACATTTGCTCTACTGAATTGAAACTTCTGTTTATTTCCAACATACCTCAGAGCTATCATCCATATCAAACTTTGCTGCCTGAATTTTCAGTCCCCGCTGGAGGTCACTCACAAAACAAGTGCGAACTTCAAAGAGATACAAAAACAGCCTTTAGATTATTTGCCTTCAATATTTGAAAGCCTCTTGTGAGATTTCTCCAAAAGAAATACTTTTGTACTGATATGATCTATCTTTCTGAATTATTCCCCTTTGCAAAAGCTGATAATAAGCCTGCTAGTGAGATGCATACCATGCTAGCAAGATTTGGAGCAAAACTTTGGGGAAATGGATATACCTGTAGTTGACAGATTGCACTATGAACTAGAATGTAACATGAAGCAGCTGGTTTGGATGGTAAGGAAAATTACACCTCAAAATGTCTGAGGCTGCAACATCAGCTGTTGCTGTTCAGATATATTTATGGAAGAAGCGGATTTAAAGTTATCCCACTATTTTGTGAAAGTCTGCCTCCATGCGCTTAAAGATTTCTAAACAAAAACTAAAGTTTGTACAAAGAAATGTGTTTTACCCTTTATGTCTTCTACAATGTCTTCTGGAATAGAACCTAAAATAGCAGAAATACAATACATCTGGAATTAACACCTAGAATACAAAATTCAAATACAGACCATGCTGACAATTTAAGTGCAAATTAGCTAGAAAACTCTGTTTCAACACAAATTAAACACACACATTGATAAGTCTAATAGTTCAGTGATAAGGTTAAGGATTGCAGCCAAGATATTTAAGGGTTTAAAATACACTAAGATCAAGCATAGCGAAATTTTCCTGAATTAACGTATTAGAAATAAGGAGATTCAGCATTGAAATGACTGCTTCTTAAGACAAGATTTGTCCATCTGTCCGTCCGTTCCACCCTCCTTCCCCTCTCCTCCCCTGGAACCACTAAGATGAAAAGAACCCTCCTGCTCCTAGCAGAGATCTTACCCATCACTGAGGTAAGGCTTTGTCCTTTGGTAGCTCCTGTATCTACTGTACTTTGCTCCAGCAACTGGTACTCTAGTTCTCTAGAGAGTATTAAGGAGAATAGGAAATATTTAGGAAATATCTGTCATTGATTCTCTGGCATCCATTCATCCCACATGGTGCATGGTCCAACAGACGATTTTCAGCCTTGTGGCTTCATCAAATATGTAATGGTTAACATACATTATAGGAAACATTTTGTAGAAGAGACAGTTGGGATGCAATATTTTCAGCCCTCTTAACACTGCCAGTAGTAGAGAAAGTGCTACGCCTGCCGATTTATACGGAAGAATAAAGAACTATGGTAATCAGTAGTCATTAATGGCCTCCTCATTAGCTTGATCATCTTCTACATGCTGTCTACATTTATGACATCTTCTTAAAGTTAATCCCATAGTTAATCCCAACTATCTGCTGTATGAAAAAGCATAAAGCCCAGATTCTAATATTATGCAGGAGAGATTTTCCTTATATAATATCTAACTTGTATTTATGTAAAAAAAGGTAGGCTACCAAGTGTCCACCCAACACCATATATTACAATTATCATAATTCCCTTCCCTCTACCCATGTAACCACAGTTGATTAAAGCTGAGATCCAAAAGGTTTGGAAGCATGTTTGTCTGCTTCTCTTCCAAACACTTGTAGGACTGACAAAACCCAGTCTATCCTGGTTCCCACCTGGAAAAAATCATATTACTCTAAGCCTGTTTTTCTCAACTTCAGCAGCTTTAAGATAGGTTCTTAATTCTGAAGTCACAGAATTTTGGGGGTTGAAGTCCACACATCTTAAATTTGTTGAAGCTGAGAAACACTGCCAAAGCAGTTGATCTTTTCTTAATAAATAAGGAATAAATAATAATATTTGCTATCAGCTTACTTGTGAATGGCTTTTCCTCCCAAAGGAAGAGCGCCCCAGCAACTGAGTACAGGAATTCCTTCATAAATCTTCAAACAGTTAAGGATGTTTTATTTTTAGTATTTCTTAATTAATCAAAAAATGAGATACAAGCACCAAACACAAATGTATAATTGCAGATGACAATATTACCAGAAGAGAACATTCGTTTTTATTTCAGTGTTTTTACAATTAATTTATGTGGCCCACTATCTTGTAATAGCAACTCTGGGCCGCTAAGATAGGAATTACAAAGGATCATGATACACTACAATTTTGGAACAATGGTTAAGTTTTTGTTCTGAATGTTTTCTTTCTAAAAAAAAATTCACTAGTTTAAATTTTATAACTTTAAATGAAGATATGTATGCTTTTTCTGCACGAAGAATTACTTTAATACTTACAGGGTGAAAATTTTATTTATAAATAAGTAGCATTTGCTTCAAATGCATCAAATCCCCAAATCTCCTCGTAATTTTCACTGAACTGAAGTAAAGCTGATTTTTATCTCATGCTTCATGAATGAAATCTGGGGCATGACCTGAAGATACATCAAGCAACCAATTTGTGGAAGCTTAAAAAAAAAACCTGGATATTTCCACTGCTTGGACAGGAGATGATGAAAGAATGATGGGATCTCTGAATGTGGCAATAAAAGCTGCTTCGGCTTTCTCTGCTCTGAACAACTCAAAACAGGCAGCTTTGTGGAACACTCCTCAAGGCAGGTGGAGTAACCCTACATCTTTTTCAGTCCCAACTGAAGAGTCTTTGTTTTTCTAACATTCAATCTCCCCCTCCCCATAATTTCTGCTTCGTTTACAAGTAATTTTCAACTTACGACCACAATTGAGCCCAAAATTTCTGTTGTTAAGTGAGACAGTTGCTAAGTGAATTTTACCTCATTTTACAGCCTTTCTTGCCACAGTTGTTAAAGTGAAATCAGTGCAGTTGTTAAGTTAGTAACACAGTTAAATAAATTTGGCCTCCGCATTGACTTTGCTTGTCAAAACGTCGCAAAAGATGACCACGTGACTCTGGAACCTAGCAACTGTCCTAAATACCAAGTCAATTGCCAAGCAACCAAAATTTAATCACGTGATCACGGGGATGCTGCAATGGTTGTGTGTGTGATAAACGGTTGTACATCACTTTTTTCAGTGCTGTGGTAACTTTGTACGGTCACTAAACAAACTCTTGTAAGTCAAGGACTATATTTTGTTGCCTTTACTGTTATTTTATTGCCATTGGACTTACAACCGTTCATTTGATGACAATTTAAAGTTACAGGGGTGCTCAAAAAAAAGACTTATGACCGATTCTCACTCTTATGACTGTTGCAGCATCCCTACAATTACATGATCAAACTTTGGGTTTGTATTTATGATGTATTTATGATGGTTACTTTGTTTCGGGGTCTTATGACCTTCCTAGGCAGCTTCTGACAAACAAAGCCAATGGTGGAAGCCAGGCTTCCTTGATGACTGCCTGACTGACTTAAGTGTAATGCTGGCTTAACATTCAAGACAAAAAATGTTGTAAAGTGGGACACAACTCTCTTAACAATTGCCTTGCTTAGTAATGGAAATTTGGGGGGTGGGGTTGTCAATTGTGGTTATAACTTGAGGGCTACCTCTACATTTTATTTTCTGTTTAAACTGCAGAATGCCCTGGGAATATTTTCAGTTTTAAAGCAGGGGTGTCAAACCCGATCGCATCGCAGGCCATATTGTGATGTATCGCAATGATTTTTGGCTTTGTGGAACTGGGGTGGGCGTGGCCTGCACGGGCTGTACCTGGACCATGGGCCGCCAGTTTGACACTCCTGATTTAAAGTATAAATTGGCTTAAATAAAGTAGGATATTTGACAAGGAAAGTCTTTTGCCCAGAAGTCAACTGAGTTAGTTCTGGGGAGTCCATTTTGTCCTGCTTAGGGTACTTGCTTCCTGACTGGCAGGGTTAAAAGAGATTTTGAAAAGATACAGGTAACACCAGGCTTTCTGTATAACCACAATCCAAAACCATTGCAGAATTAATTCCAAGTGTTAGAAGAGCCATCAGATGACTTGGTGCAAACAACACTGAAGGAACCTAGAAGGGATACAGAAGTACTATTTTTAATATTCTGCAGGGTGTCTGTGATCATTTGGACAGTTTGCCATTAACATCTCTATTCACGAAATCTCACATTCAATATATCCGGAACTCCTGTCTATGGAAAGTCTGTTCCTTGAACTTGGACCAGCTTTTGGACCAAGTTCAAGGGTCCAACTTGGACCACCCACCATGCTGAGACCTTTGTGCTGGGTTCCAACAATGCTTCTGCCTGTTACTTTGGATTTTGATTATGTGAAACTCCTTCCAGGCCAAGCTTCCAAGGGATTTGGGACTACTCAAAACTGTACTAAAGGAAAATATGCCATCAATAGTCCTCAACTTATAACACAAATTGGAACCTGAACTTCGGTCATCAAGCAATGTGGTCATAAACTGTGACTGCATCGATTAGCAACAGCAATCCCTGCAATCCTGTTCCCATTAAATAAATCCCATGGTTTTTTGACGAGCAACTTCCTACTTAGTGGAAAAATTGGGTCATGGTTGCTTTAATCACAGGCGAGTAAAGAAAATCTGATACCTGTTAAAACTGTCAGCAACAGCAAGCAAGTTGGAATGCATTACTATACCTCAAAATACTTGAATAGAACTTTTGTGAGCGTCTCTCTGAAATGAGAAGGGCACAATACAGATTCCACAATCACAACCCGACGGTCTCGGGGGTTTACCAGCAAATGCCTGAAAAATGAATGTGAGGTCAGAAAGCTGAATAAAATTACTTGCTCTTCTATGCTTTTGTGTACAAATTTATTACCTGCGCAGTTTTTAAGCAGACTGCAATCCTAGGTAGAATTGCTTAGTTTAGGATGGATTATTGTCTATTGCTTTTTATTAATAATTATTGTAAATTGCTTCAATGCCTTGTGGTATGAGATGTCTACAGTATAAATCACTGAATGAATAAAATATATTACAATGGAATAAATTTACCTAAGTCGAATGAGGTTTAACTTTTGAATAGATATACAAAAAGATGGGAACCAAAACAATGAGCAATGCCAGGTATTGGAATATTGACTCATAGGTCAGAAATTCATTTGGAAGGATATACCGTCCTACCATTTTGATTGGCTTTAGACAAATATTTTATAAGGTATTCTATAAGGGGAAGATTAACACATGCCTGAGCTTCAGAGAAGCAAGTATATTGAGACTGATGCTTAATTTCAGTTATGTTTTCCTATATTCATTTTTCTTAGTGTTGATGAGAAATCCAGATTTGAAGAGAAAAAATGATTCAGCATAAGCATATGTCAACAACTCCTTAAAAAGCTTTACCTTAGTTAGAAAATCTGTTACAAAATCCTGGGTAGATCTGTGCTTGATGCTTATATACAGGTGGAACTCAAAAAATTAGAATATCGTGCAAAAGTTCATTTATTTCAGTAATGCAACTTAAAAGATGAAACTAATATATGAGATAGACTCATTACATGCAAAGCAAGATAGTTCAAGCCGTGATGTATCCTAACTGTGATGATTATGGCTTACAGCTCATGAAAACCCCAAATCCACAATCTCAGAAAATTAGAATATTACATGCAATCAATAAAACAAAGATTGTACATAGAACAATATTGGACCTCTAAAAAGTATAAGCATGCATATGTACTCAGTATTTGGGTTGGGCCCTTTTTGCAGCAATTACTGCCTCAATGCGGCATGGCATGGAAGCTATCAGCCAGTGGCATTGCTGAGGTGTTATGGAAGACCAGGATGCTTCAATAGCAGCCTTCAGTTCTTCTGCATTGTTCGGTCTCATGTCTCTCATCTTTCTCTTGGCACTGCCCCATAGATTCTGTATGGGGTTCAGGTCAGGCGAGTTTGATGGCCAAGCAAGCACAGTAATCCCACGGTCACTGAACCAGGTTTTGGTGCTTTTGGCAGTGTGGGCAGGTGTCAAGTCCTGTTGGAAAATGAAGTCAGCATCCCCATAAAGCTCGTCTGCGGAAGGAAGCATTAAGTGCTCCAAAATCTCCTGGTAGACGGCTGCGTTGACCCTGGACTTAATGAAGCAAAGTGAACCAACACCAGCAGATGACATGGCTCCCAAATCAACACAGACTGTGGAAACTTCACACTGGACTTCAAGCATCTTGCAGTGTGTGCCTCTCCATTCTTCCTCCAGACTCTGGGTCCTTGGTTTCCAAATGAGATGCAAAAGTTGCTCTCATCAGAAAAGAGGACTGTGGACCACTGAGCAAAAGACCAGGTAAGGTAAGACGCTTCTCACGTTTGTTGATCAGGAGCGGAATACGACATTTGAAGCCCATGTCCAGGATCTGCTGTGTGTGGTGGCTCTTGATGCACTGACTCCAGCCTCAGTCCCCCCCTTGTGAAAGTCCCCAACACTTTTGAATGGCCTTTTCCTGACAATCTTCTCCAGGCTGCGGTCATCCCTGCTGCTTGTGCACCTTTTTCTTCCACACTTTCCCCTTCCACATAAGTTTCTATTAATGTACTTTGATACAGCACTTTGGGAACATCCAACTTCTTTTGCAATTACCCTTTGAGGATTTCCCTCCTTATGGAGGGTGTCAATGATGGTTTTCTGCACAACTGTCAGGTCAGCGGTCTTTCCCATGATTGTGATTCCGACTGAACCTGACTGAGAGACCATTTAAAGGCCCAGGAACCCTTTGCAGGTGTTATGGCTTAATTAGCTGATTAGAGTGGGACACTTTGAGCCTAGAATATTGCACCTTTTCACAATATTCTAATTTTCTGAGATTGTGGATTTGGGGTTTTCATGAGGTGTAAGCCATAATCATCTCAATTATGACAAATCACGGCTTGAACTATCTTGCTTTGCATGTATTGAGTCTATCTCATATATTAGGTTCACCTTTTAAGTTGCGTTACTGAAATAAATGAACTTTTGCACGATATTCTAATTTTTTGAGTTTCACCTGTAAATGTATGAATTTATATTGTGAAATGACATTCACATTTTTAATTATACTGCAAACCACATCTTGTCTTTTTATTTTTATGAACATTTTAAAAGAGAAGGGCATTTTTCTTTAAACCAGATTGATCAACTGAGAGATGATAAGTTAAAAAAAAAGTCTTGAAAAAAATAATACTATGACTTGGACCTAATAACACTGAAGTGAGCAGTTGGAGTCAGGCTTAACCAATTTGTTAAGTAAGTTACAAGAGCTGGACTCATAATCAAGCTAGCTTGTATGCAAATTAAAATATATGACAGCTTGACCCTAGTAGTGATGCCTGGGTTTCAGACTGTTGCATCAAAATATTGCAAGCCAAGATGTTGAAATAAATATTTATATTGGTTGGTCTTTAAGAAGATGAACAAGCATAGGCTAATTTGATATCAATAAGTCTGATACAATTCTAAGAGCAAACACTATAGATTTTGGACAGTAGCTATGCAGCAGTATCAAATCCTAGGATAGGAAATAGAAGCTTTGTAATGCATAACATAGCCATAATGATATCTTAATTAATCCAATATCTAAGCAATTTCTTTACAAAACTTGGGACTACACATCCCAACAATCCATCACAGAAATATTTAGTACAATATTTCCTACCTGAAATAAAGCATGTGAATGAATTCCTTCAAGTATGAATACAATTCTTCTGTATTAATGTTATATTGAACAACTCTGATCGGCTGTGAATTAAAAAAACACAATAGTTTTAAGTATTTTAAAATTTATTTAGCATTTCTTAATTATTGTATGCACACATAATCCATTTAAGTAATGATAGATTTATGAATTTTATGAGCTTCTCTTTGAATAAGTCTTTGTTGGCCCGGGGAGGGGGAATAGCTACAAAAGATGCAGAACTGACCCTCCCAAAACTCCATGGAACCTCATCTATCTGTTCCCAAAGCAAGCAATCTGGAAAGATTCCTGTATTACAGGCAGAACAAAATAAAGTAGTTAGCTTAAAGTCTATACATGTGGATCTGGTTATTTGTGCCTAACAGTATCACATATTAATAATCCAGTGCTACCATACAACCAACAAGAGTTCTTTATCATAGTCCGGCACTTTGTTGTATAGCTGTAATATTACTTCTATGCCTATCAAATTTTAGATAGGAGATTGTGTAATATTATGATTGTCATTCCATGACCAAGAAAATTGCTTGTAAGGCTTACATATGGAGCCATGTTTTGCCATGTTCTGTCTGGACTGCGGCTTGCTGACCTGAATATAGTTTTCAATAAGGACATTGAGATATTTTGAGTTTCCTATTTTCCTAAGCATGTTCCATAGCTTGATGTGGTCAAAACAGTGAAATGAAAAACATATTGACATTTCAATTTGTTTTTTCCAATGTGAAAGAAATTTCTAATGTTTAAAAAAGTTCCACTTGCAATAAAATGTAATGTAATGAAAACCTTTGAATGTAAATGAAAACTTGCTTTCTTAGGACTTTTTAGTTTTAAAGCAGCCATAAATAGAGTACTATAAATAGTGATAAACAGGGTAAGAGTGACTCTTCTGACCTAGGAGGAAAGACCAAGTTTACCAAAGAGACCTAATACTTAAAGGACAAGACTCCTAGCAAACTATTAGTATATTGGCTCCTACCATAACAAAGAGATCAAGTGATCATATTTTTTGTAACATCATTAAAGGTACAGAGATCCCTCTTAACATACTTTTTGCTGCACAATAACTATATTTTTTTCCTGAACTTTATTGCTCATAAACACTTAAGTATTTGTAACGTATATACTCTTGAAACCTTTACTGTTAGGCCTTGATTCTTAAGGCTTAGGCTTCAGTGATTTATTGTATCAATAAATATTACACTTACACAATTGTTTGGATCCTTTTCAATTCTTTTGATAAGTTCACTTGTTGCTGTTTCTACCCCATCGTTTACTTAGGGTGTATCATGTACCTTATTCCTCAGCCATTTCTAAAGCCATTCTGAAAATCTGGGAAATCCCTTTCCATATTGGGCTCTAATCTGCATTGGATGATCCTAAGCATTATTTTGCTAGCATGGGAAATTAAGTCTACTGTATGATAATCTGCAATATGTGTTAATTCTGTGTTAATTACTGTTGTATTGGTTGGTAGACAAAACTCTTCTAATCTATTAGTCACATTCTCCAGATTTGCTAGCATAGTTAAGTTAGAATACTTACTGATTTGCCATTGGAATTTCCACCATTTGATTTTCACATAATTATATTTCTTAAAAATTACCTTTGAAACACCAGGTTTCTTTACTTCACTAGGTATGACACATCTAGGTCCTGTTTCTCCTGCAAAGCCACATCTGGAAAATTAAAAATACTAGAATACATATACATTCAAAACAACAAAATAGCAGCACCGATCTGGTAATCCTACTAAGAACCAATTAAATACTTCATGCCAGAAGCAAACTAAAACTAAACTTTTATGAATCCAAAGTAATATTAAAAACAACCTAAGATCTTCTATATAGCCAAGAGCATTGGAACATTTCCCCCTGTTATTTTGCAGTATAGCACATATTCTACAACCACACTTAAGGTAAGATCATGATATTTTAAATTTAAAATATCATTATAGGCATGGTTTAGAAAAAAATATCTAGGCTAGAGATTTAAAAATTTCTGGCTTTAAAAATAGGAAAAGGCTAGTTAAAGAATTGATGGGGTTAATTCAACACAATTTGACACAATAAATTAAGGTACTCTAATACATTATTGGATTCTTGTGTGCCTCATGCCATTCTCGATCTTGCTCCTGCTTCATGGCTCTTCTAAGGTTAAACCTAAAAACCTATCTTTTGCAGCCAGAAATGGCTAGCTGGAATTTTAAAAGAACAATTAGCTGTAATTTCAAGTTCTGAACAAGTGATAATCAGAAATACTGATTAATATGGTGAACTGCACAATAAAGCTAGGGCTTAGTGTTCTGTTAACATGGTAAGTGGTTCGTTTTACATTTTATACTAAAGCAAAACCAAACAAATGAAAACTTCAGTCATTTTAAACCATGATGATATAGCTTCAAATTGTCTGAATCGGCAGTACATTTTCTCACAAACCATAGATTATGCAATTCACTCACAATAAGACTGCTTTACATGACACATGACAAATAGAATTTTAAACCCAGATTCTTTACACACAACTTACTCAGATAACAGGAACTCAATTCTCTTTTCTCTCTCCCTTCTCTTTTATAATAGTGTGAATTTTATAGTGTACTAATACATAAGTGCATTGATGTTACCTAGATTAGTAATAAAACATCTGGAAGGAAACAACCAAGTACAGAGAGCACCACACTACATTGTGCATCACACTGCCTAAGCAAAGTCTCAATCTGGAATATTTCTGAGCAAAATCAGACAAGATCCCACCCTGGTCAATCAATAAGTACAAGTTTCAACACTAGAACTCTGTGACTCGGTTTACTCCCAGGACTAAATATGGTGGTTACGCCAGGGTAATACAACTTAAAGCATCCAACTATTATGATCGATAGCTGTGGTTTTGGAAATCCAGTGATTAAATTAATTCAATACATTGTGGTTCAATTTACTATAAACACATTGGCAAAGCCAGCTAGTCTTAGCCATGAATGAAAATGAAAAAGAATGAAAAGCGAAGTTCTTGCATTGCAGCATGACATGGTTCATCAGATTTTGGGCTACCATATGCAAAACAGCGATTATGGGTAGAAAGGAGTAGTTCATTGTCAACGATCCTGGGAATGCAGTCAGCATTTATTTATGCAATGAAGCACGTTTAAGAACCCAGATCAGTAATGAGTAAACCTATCCTTTCATTCAACCACTTGGGGAAAAAAGTGAGGCGGCGGCGGAGGAATAAAATTGCAACGCGCAATGCGAGTAAAAACAGCGCGTAGCAACAATACGATATAAAACCCAAGTGATAGATAAAATACAGGACAGGTGCAGAGTCACACAAAGCAGGGCTCAAGCGATTTGACGGGGGTGGGAAAGGAAGGGAAACTATCTTACTTGGTGAAGGCCGCACCCAGATCGATCACCACGGCGGTTTTTTCCCCGCCGCTGCCGAGACCCTCGTAAAGCGGCATTGCGGCGAGCGACTCCCTCGCGGAGAGGGAAAAGGATGGGCAAACAAAAGAACCAAAGGGGAAAAAAAAAAAGGTGGGCTGGAAAAACAAGGATGAGGGCTTTCTTTCCCGGCCGGCGCGTGAGGCTGAATGGCCGAGAGAGGCAGACGGGGTCCTTCCATTATAGTCGGCGCGCAATAAGCTGTCTGTTTTTGCGCCTGGTCTCAGATAAAATTATTTGTGGATTGTGTGGATTGTGTACGGCTGTCCCCCTCCGGGCTCTCGGCTCTCTCCCGATCCCAGATTCTTTCCTGCCCCCCCTTTCCTAAGGCATAAAATGGTTAGAGATGGGGGGACAAGCAATTGATACCCCAGGGGTATCTCCTTTCTGCTTACACTTGGTGATTCCTTCTGAAACCTTAGGATTCTATTGACATTATAAAATCGTATTTTCCCCCATTATTTAAATTATTCTGTAGCTCGCGCTGACACTCTTTTTTGGAGAGGGAAAGGGAATGCCAAGTGCATTGTGAGACCGGTCTGGGCAGAGATAGGAATGGGACATGATGTAACAGCTTTGCTGAAAATAAAAGACGTGGGCTTCACAAACAAAATGCTTTTCCTATATATGAGCTTATGAGCAAGGCCATGAATAGGTTAATTTGAAAGACAGAAGCTGTATTTAGACAGATTTGTTTATAGAGAACAAATAAGTGATTAGTACATAAAATATTATTGCCTTTCCAGTGGGTGACAGAAAGGGAGAAAGAAAATAAAGGTGGGGAATTATGGCTTATCAAATCAGCAACAACAGGAATTCTTCAGAAGTCTATTGTTTTAGCTTATGGAGGCGGAAAACGAGGCACATCATAGATATGGGTAAAATTCAGAACACAAGTCCCTTCATTGCACCAGCCTCAGACCAGTCCAAACTTCAAAGTCACAATTGCCTTAAACGTTTAAGAGTGAGCAAATTGGAAAAGTTTTGAGAGGGAGACGGAATGTTTGTAGGACTGATACACTGCATTTAAGAAATCTTGTTGGCTAACTGGGTGAGGCTATGTGGTTTTCATGTGGCTGAATGAAGGATGTCTTTGCTTACTTTGTGAGCTCATGGGCTGAGAGGGAGAGGCTTATGGCAGCAGCTGATCAGGTGATTAACTGTGGACAGCGTGGCATTTCTTAGTCAATAATTTGATCCCAGCCAACATTCTTTGAAAAGAGAAGTAATCTGGAACCTCTGGCTACAGTGAGGATCAGGAGAGACTTCTGACTACTACTGATGTCCTACCCAGAAAAGATGTAAGTGTTAAGGTATGTTTAGCAACTGTGAGGGAGTTAGGACACCAAACTCTATAGAAGCATTACATACAAACCATCGGTCAAATAGTTCCAAAAGGAAAAAAAAACTAATTACAAAAGCCAACAGAGAAGATGGTGTTTTCCTGTTTGTTGCACAGAGTGCCAATATAGAATTGGCTATTATATTCCTGTTCCAAATCTGGGTCAGAGAGGCATTAGGGAATTGGTGGAAGAGTTTAGATTTATTAAACTTCGGAAAATGTTTTGCAGCAATCTGAATCTGTGTGAAAAAGGGTTTTCATTTTGACTGAAATTGAATTAGGCTTTATAAATGGCAAAGTGCCTTTGCTGGACCATGTGCAAATCAAAGGATGCAAATATTTAAGAGAATAGTATAAGACACATGGTGGAGAAAATACATGTAGCAAATAAAATAGAGACTGCATACCGTTTTCCTGCCTATCTTTTAGATGTAGAGTTAATTTTAGTTCTTCTCTTCACCTAATCCCATCCTAAACTGACACGACCTGCCCCAAAGTCCCCTTGCCATCTGATAGCCAAATCTGGCCCTCGGTTTACCTTTCCAATAAGCAACCAAGTTGGAAGATAATTTAAAAGCAGTTTATTAGTGTACAGCCCAAGGGCAGCTCTTACAAAGGAATTGCAATCTAGAAAAGCCCCAATATACTGTCTTCCATCAGTTGAGGACCTCAACATTCCATCTGCTTTAACAAGGGAATTCCCCAGCACTCCTCTTGAAAAAGGGCTGCTTTTCAAACAATAGAAAACTCAAGGTACGCTAACAAGGACCTGCCTAGCTTTTCCCAAAAATGCCTAGGATTTCTTATCTTGCAATCCCCAATTTCTATAAAAAGTCTTTGCTTTCCTTGTTCATTGTTTCTTGTAAACCAGACACTCAATGACCATTGCAATAAACATAGTTCCTTTGGTGTTATGTTCTGTATTTTTGAATGCTTTACTGTATTTTTTGAAGTGGATCACTTACTGGACAAGATAGTCAGGAAGCAAAAAAAACCAACAACATAATGCCAGCAACATTTGGAGAATAATGTGGAGTATAGTAGTTTCTCAAACAATACTAGCAATTGGAAGAACTGGTGTACTTATGTGTTAATACATATAGCCCCAGCACTATTGTTTTTTAGGCAACTTAAAAACTTGACTCTTTCTGCAGGTACTGAGTAAGGAAGATACATGAACCTGCTGAACATGTGTGTGTGTTAATGTTTAAGTTGTCCAGAGTCACTTGTCAAGTGGGTAGAAATGCAATTAATAAATGGAATTGATGAATAAATGGAATAAATGGTATAATAGAAATCTGGTAGACTGGAGAGAATCAATGGAATGCTGTCAGTGCTGGATACAAATTTGATAGGGTAAGGAAGGATGCATTGGTGAAGTCTTGCCTTTTAGATCAAGAAGAATATAAATGCTAACATTAATATGCAAATATTGTGTTAATCTAATTCTGCAGTCCAATATTTAAGACGGAGGAAAAAACTAAATATGACTGGAACAGACAATCTTAATCCAAGAAGAGACTGGACAGCCATTTGTCTGAAATGGTATAGGGTTCCTGCTTGAGCGGGGTGGGGGTTGTTAGACTACTAGAATACCTCCAAGGTTCCTTTCAACTCTGTTATTCTCTTCTGTTCTTTAAAAAAAAGATATTCATTCTATCTCTAATTTCCTTAGAACTTTATTTCTGGGACTGTTCTTTTTCTCAAGTCACTTATGTATTCCGTTGACATATACACCATTTAAAAGAAATGCTACTTAGCAGCATTGAGTCCTGGAAATCAGATCTCTACTTTAGGCTCTCCTCCTAGAATTGCAGCTTATTTGGGTGACCTTGGACAGTGAAGAGAAATGTCTACGTATTTCTATTCAGCAAGTCTGCTTCCTAAATTATAACTGCTGACCTGTTCTAGTAAATATTTTCTTCTCCCATTGTCAGCAGTTGAGGGTCCATTGTAAGCAAAGGATCAAACTGAGGAGTTTGTTGTCTAGTGTGCAATCACAAACAACAAAAAAGGAAATGTTAACATCCGTTGTGTCACAGTTAGTTAACAGAGATAGAACTAAAATATATGCTGCCTAGAGTTGTTTTTCAGAATGAGATAGGTGGCATATAAATTAAATAAATCAAATTAAATTAAAGAATGAATAAAATAAAAATGATTGTGTTGTGCAGGTTATGTCTTGCCTATCAGGATGACTCTGTGGAAATAATTCCACCATATCATGGTGTTGTAGTTAGTGCTGAAATAAAACTGGGATGTTTTATTTATAAAACAGAGTGAATTTCTCAATATCTCTAAGCCTAATCTACTTCACAAATAGCAACATAGAAGGTAGGCAACAAAGCATTCCATATGAACAACAGTGGAATATAACTATAACAAATCAGCAATAATTGTGGCATTTAAGATGTGGGCCAATCAGTGATTTAAAATTAGCTTTAAAATCTGTGTTATGCCACAACAAACCATTCCTGCTTTATCATTTACAACAATGTATGAACCAACCAATGCTTGATTTTTTTATACAACATGCTAATTGTAATATTAGTTTTACAAGCATCATATTCTACTCTCTCTGCCATGCAGAGCTCTTTAACTGACTTTTTGATTTGCTTAAATCACAATTCTTTGAAAACTACACTTGATACAACACTTGTGGATTATGTTATATCAGTACAGGGAACTTGTAAATACTTTTTCAGCATCATATTTAATGCCCACTGCACTCTTAAAAATCTGCAGATCTTTATGAATAAAAGCTGGGGCAAATGAAGAATTAGTGGCAGAACACTGACTCAGCCTGCAGACCTCCTGCTTTTCTAGTTACGCTAATTAAGTCTAATTGAGCCTACAGCACAAGATCTGAGGCTGTACGGAAGGCCTGCTGGGAGAAAGAAGCGATGCCTGCTTTCCCTTGGAAAATACAAACGGTGACAGTTTTATCTGAAGGTGGCTTTGGTGTAGGTTGGAGCATCTCAAGTACGATTCCCAGTCTTGTCTGAAATGGTATAGGGTCTCCTGCTTGAGCAGGAGGTTGGACTAGTGGACCTCCAACAAGGTCCCCTTTCAGCAATATTCTGATCGATTGATTTTAGTAGTCCTGGACAAAAGAACAGAACAAAACAAAAACCTTGAACATTCCTGAATTTATAACTTGTTAATTCAAGTTAATAAATTTATACTAGGCTGGCCTAATGCTCATAATAAACTCTCCTGTCAATACAGTAAATTGACCCATTTTTCTTTTGGTACATTCTTGAGAAACTCAGATTTGAGAATCAGGAAGAAGGATTTTTTTAAAAAAATAAACTCCGCTACATCCTACAACACCTTGAATCTCCAAATACCTACGCAAGGGTCCTCTTTGTAGACTTCAGTTCAGCATTCAATACCATCATTCCAGATACTCTTCTAAGTAAATTAAACCAGCTAGTGGTACCTGAACACACTTGTAAGTGGATCATAAGCTTCCTAACAGATAGGAAGTAGCAGGTGAAGCTACGCAGAATCACAATCTGATACCTGTATAATTAGCACAACCCCCCCCCCCCCGCAAGGCTGTGTGCTTTCTCCTCCCTATGTACCAATGACTGCATCTCAAATGATCCATGTTAAAATGCCGACGTTTGCAGATGATACAACAGTGATTGGTCTCATTCGAGACAACGACAAATC